TTAAAGTTATATGTATGTAAGAAACCAATATTATAGATGTAATATTTTGGTGATGATAAGAAAGAAGAAGAATCCCACAAAAATATAACTAAGATTGAAAGTGATTATGAGTACTTGAAACTTCTTGGAATGAAGTTTAAGACCAAGGAGTGATCTTCTTGTTTATGTCGTAGTCTTGCCAACTGTCTATGATTTTTCAGAAGACAAAACCACTTGTCCACTTCACAGACCTTCCCGTAAGACAATTAGTTTGATCAAAGTCACTTTTTCTTACCATTTGTTACACTCTTTGAGGTGAAAACTAATATTTTGGGTATTATTTCAAAGTAAAAATAGACAGAAAATATTGATGAATTATTTTTTTTTTATAATGTTTACTTTTAAATGTGATTAGTTTTTCAAGCTTGGATACAATCGTTGATCTCAATAGCCAGATTATTATATACAATTCATCTCTACTATATCCGAATTTTTTTCCGCCTCATTCAACTTAGTTGCCTTCATTTTTCCGTATAAAATGTCAAAAATGTGTGTTACCATTTAAAATCTCAAATAAACATTTTTTAAATTTCTATACATGTATTGACCAATATTCTGACCAAATTCTTAGCCAAAAATCTTCGATGCTTTCTCTACTAATTAATTATTAATTTTGTCATAAAAATAAAATAGAATGATTTCACAATTCTTAAACAAAACCACTACATACAACTCTCTATACGATAGTTTTTCTACGTCTCAATAGCGAATAAAATATTGACCGATAATCTCTAATAATTAATCGTATTAAAAAATATTAAAGAAAATTTTGTTATCAATCATCCCAACTTTTATTATGATTTCTTCTCACTTTTTAAATAATATAATTGATTAATGTTTAAAAATGTGTTTTGATAAGACAATACTATTTTCTATTCCAGTTGCGAATATGATAATTTGATATATTTTTCTACACCAAATTTTAATTTATCTAAATATAGGAAATTTTTTTAATGTTTGCTTCTAAAACAGAAAAAATATTTGAAACTAAAAAGATGGTCTTGACATATTTTTTGAAATAATCAATTACTATTTTTTTTTGGTCAAATCAATTACTATTTAATGTCATGTCTATATTTCATCTTAAATT